ACCAGCTTCTAGTTTTGATTCACCGATAAAACATGCTTTCGACCATGACATGTCTTCTCTTCAAAGTCTTCAGCAGTATATCAAATTGGTCTTCCTGTGTTTTCAAAATGGCGACAAGTAGACATTGCATTAACTTGAACTCAAACAGTAAATAAATTGATTTTAARAGTAAGTAACTCATGATAATGTTCTAAATCACAAGTATGATAAATAGGATAAGTAAATCAAATAGAATTCCTACAAAAATTTTGGGGCATTACGTTATAAATCGCGAGCATACATGTCAATTCGACGACATTCGACTAATAAGTTATTTGGAATTCATATCGATACTTAGACAGCAATAAACAACTACTAACGATTGGTGACATGATTGAAGGATAAATACCACTTTCTGATGATTTATAAAGTCTTTGTTGTATGTCATGAAGCTCAGTGAATACAAAATGTCGTCTTACCTTTGTACCGAGTCCAGTCGTGACGAAATCTTATTGCACTGAATACTGTTCCTCGTTCACATACGATGCAGAGTCGATACAAGATTCTTGCACGATAATGAATCAATCAAACATTATGGCACGTCGCATTATCGCATTTTTCTTCCAAGAGACAAGGTTTTGCTTCTCTCGAAGAATAAATTCCAGCTAATTCCCGGAAGAGTAATGTCGTTTGTGATCCCGCTGTGCAGAACTACCTGAAGTCTGGCTCAACCCGGAAATGAATGTTTTGATCAATGTAGCTATAACAGGGTTTCACTTTATACATAGATTTGAATAAACCATATACATATGATTTGATAAATAAATATATATGTCAGGTTGGTAGTTAAGATATTATATGCTGTGTATTAATGAAAGATTGCAGTGAATGACAACTAAAAGAGAGACATAGAAATAAAACACGCTATTGTATATAATATAACTGCGAACATGCCTCACATTTTATTTGTTGCTTTTTATTATTTTAAAAAAAGCTATAGATTGTATCGTTAGATCATACATATTCATAATAACAAGCAATCCTATAATCTTAGAATGTCGTCTCCTTTAAGAGCATCACTTCAAGTAAAATGTTTTGCCAGTTTCCGTCCTTCATTTCTTCGCAGCTTTTTAGTTTCGGGATCCCTGTGTTTGTGTCTCTGCGCACAATTTTCTGTTGTACGCACAAGAGGATAAGACTTCGTTTTATAGAAAGAACTCCTCCGACGCAACTAAAATAAACATTCAGAGTAGAAAAAAACTCTTTCAAAACCATTTTGTAAGCTACTCATTCTTTCTTATTAACACAGAAGGCGCAAATTCCTATATTCTTAAAATAAAAGAGAGAACGACAGTTCTAAAGGCAAGAAATTATCGTTTATCGTGGTTTTCCTCTTTTCATCCGCCATCTTGTTTCTTTTCTTATAATGGTCTATCATAAAAAAGACCTCTATTAATTAGAGTTGTTAATCAGAATGCATGCAGGATCAGTTTTTTTCAGATAATTATTTCGTTAGTAAGATTGTAGAGCAGAAGAGCAGCAAGACAGAGCAGTATTTCGGACGCTTATCTACGTGGAGAAAGCGCTATTTATCCTCGCCGCCACCACTGATTATATATTTTGCTCTGCTATAACTGCAGAGTGAACTGGGCGCCAAATTAACCGCCTCGGTCAAAGTCGACGGTATATGCGGATCAGGTAGCCATGACTGCTAGCTTTGTTATGCTACTTTAAAAGGAGAGAGGATAAATCGTCGCGCGCGTCACCTTGCACCGAATGGCAAAGGTGAGTTGAAGTCGCTGGCCTTCTAAATAGCACTCTAGGACTCCATATTCGCACGAGAGCACAGCGCTTGCGCTAGTCCGAAAATCAGTACAGGAGTGTTGTCAATATGCGAATGGACCCTAAAGAACACGACCGTGAGCAGTGACCTGTAGCGTCAGTAACCATGCCCAATAACGACCTTAACTGCTTAGGTCTCTTTTACAATGACAGCGATCACATATAAATTAAGGAAGAAGTGAATGCCATTACTTCTTTGAAACTGATTCCAGAAGTCTGAGGGAGCCGGCATTCTAGGTATATTTTCAAAACAAGTGAGTCGAGAGCCCGCATATTTAAAAAGATACATCAGAAACTTTGAGTTTTTTTAGTATTTCTTTTTTCTGTCTGAAATATTTCTTTCTAGTGACATAACCTCCATTTGTGGAGTTATTATTGTGAAGAATTATAAAATGTCTCTGTGTTAATTTTTTTTTACATTAATAACACGGAACTACATCTACCAGAATGCTTAGCGTACTTTTATTTCTATACATCTTTTGCTCTTTTGTTCATTGTGATCATCAAGGACAATCTGCATCGTCGATTATCTCTCACAGTCAACTGAATACTGTAGAGTGGTTTTTGTCCAGAAATTGTGAAATATCTACTACACTTTTAAGTGTAAAAAACACAGTACTTCACCCAGTGAAGCCATAAAAAACATCGGTCAATATGACAATAATAAACACAGTTGACGATTAGAGTCGTTACACTTAACCCGTGAAACAATTTCCAGACTACTGGAGTCTTTGACCATGTAATGAAAATGACCATTTAGTTAGCATTTGTTGGTAAACAATAGATCCATAGCTTGATAATCTTTCACGGTCAAATGAAATCAACTCCAGTTATGTTTTCGCGTTTCTTTTAGCTGGAGTATTACAAAATAACAGTTAACGTTTCACGGGTCAAATGTAAGGATGCTAACCGTCTGTGTTTAATAGTGTCTATGAGTGAAGTCTACAAATCGTGAACTAGATTACACATTCTAAAATATTTAGGATACTACGCGCGTTGTGATTGGTCGAAAACCATGTTTGATTACAGTATCAAAACACGCTYRBGMRCGTCAAAAATTTCTTTTTTTCTTTTAATTTTAGAAAAGAAATAAAAGACGAAATTCCGTGTTTGATACTCTGATCAAAACACTTGGGATGTATTCTTTTGTAACTATATATTTGACTATCAGCCTTTTATACTGAAATTTCGTTTCACGGGTTTATGCCCTCACTCTATTAGTGATTGTTCCATAGTTCGATGAAAACCACTTTCTTATTACTATTTGTTTGGTAGATTAGTGACAATGCACTTAACCCGTGAACCACTATCTAAAAGTCACTACGYGGTGTAACGTACTGAACTAGAGTGATGCAACAAATCTTTAATTTTTTTGTTATCAATTTAATTGAGTTGTCTATAAAACATAAACATGTTCGAGATATAACCGAATTCAAACACTAAAAGCGTGAAAACGTACTAACCAAACATTGCTAAACTGTGTTGATTAGAAAAATAAAACAAAGTAATGGGAATAATCCAGGAGTTTGTGGCACTATTTTATCATCAGAATGGATTGTTTTCTTTTGTGTCTTGTTGACTGTCACTATTTAATAGTCAAGTTTTGCTTTACAAGTTTAATGATTCATTCAAGTCAAATAGACACAAAAGAAAACAATCCAATTAGAGCGTACTAAGAGACCCTAAGTGTATTAGTTCCTCGCCTATTTCACGTTTCTTTTACTCCACTTTAAACTACAGTGAGGTCTAAATTGCCAAAAAACTAAAACGATGAAACAGAGTGAAGTCAGTGAAATAGGTACGATTGGTACAACATATCGTGCGCTGAAATTGCATTTTTTTTCTTCATTATAAATTGTCTCTTTGATTATCACACGTTAACAGTTAAATCTTATTTCACGGGTTTAATGCCTACAATACAGTTTGATATCAATTCTAAGTTGTACTGAATTATGCTAATTCCTTATCTCTCTCTTGTCTAAGAAAACAATGGAATAATCGCTACAATGATTAGACTTGTTGCTGAAAATAATACTATAAAAATAAGTATTTAGCAGTTTCCTAACATTACATGGTATAAAAGAGTGATAAAAAGTAACACACTTTTTACTTCAAATTCAGGATGACGTCATCCCCGATCAAGAAGAAAGGAGCCCAGTACTTGGGATCCCTGTGGCCTTCTTTTCTAATATCATGCATRGCTTTATGAAGACTTACACTTGCACTTTCACCTTGAGTCAGATAATCGTAAAAACTGACCATAAAACTCAAAGTTACACTGTCATCGATTGCCCACAATGACGCTACGACAGAACGAGCACCGGCCGCAAGGAAAGCACGACTTAGTCCAATCATACCYTCAGCCCTGATCTCACCGCGACCACTGTAACAACAGCTTAGCACAACAAGTTGAGCTTTGATCCCTATTTGTTGGACTTCCCTCATCGTCAACAGGTAGTCATCTTCTTCTGGGATACCTTGTCTTTCTGGTGAGACGACATTTGGCGCCAACGCTATTTCACCATTGTCAGAGCTCCCGTGAGCAGCAATGTGAATCACAGCTGATCCCTCTTGCAATTTGAGCAACACAGCGTCTTTGGTAGCTTGCTCACCAGTCAACGCTGTTTGCCCCAGTTTGTAAGAAAGAAAACTGACTTCCCTATTTGCTGACGGTAGACGTTCAAACATTCGTTTCTTTCCTCTGAACATGACTTCTCCAACACTTGGATCTCCTACAATCAACGCTCCTTTTTGGCTGTGATTATCCACTGAACATTTTTTTAGAACCTTTAATATTGCTATTGATGGTGCAAGGCGAATGCGTTTGGTGTCTGACAGATACTGTCCTGTGTTGGGATCCCTGAGGGCTGCAAATGGTACCCTATACATTGGTCCATCGGGTACTATGACAATCTCGTCGTGTCGTACGTCTGATAGGACAGGTGCAACTAAACAATTGTACAACATTTCAAGCGGGTGTGACGCTTGATCGAGGTTCTCTTCACTGGTACCATCATCACGTGACAGAGATTCAGAAGCTTTTGTAGTGACGTGATCTTTCGATGTAACGCAATCATCAAGTGATCTGTTTTCACAAGTGACGCTTTCTTGGATTTTCATCATTTCATATGCTTTTGAAACCGTAGCAGTAAAGAAACGTTTAATGGAGTTTTCATCACCATCTTTCTTTTCTTCAGTCAATGTTTGTATGGCAGAATCAAATTGTTCCTTTTCAGTTTCTCTGAACATCAGTGAGTCTTTAGCTAAAACCCACACAGCCAAACTGTTGCTTAGCAAGCTGTAATGCAGTATCGAGAAGACTTCTTTAAAGAAGATCGCCTCCACATCAGGATAGATTAGTGGCTTAGGCAATGATATTTCTTTTTCAATCATGCCGTATTTGAAGACCAAGCGATCTCCTAAAGCACGTGCTCGTCTACCGTCAGATACTAACAGAGCCTCTTGTAGTTGCTTTCTCTCGATTAGCACGATTGTGAGGAGCTTGTAAGCCTTATTGAATGTTTCAAATATGGAGACTTTGAAATTATCCCGTTGATGGAGATGCAGTAACAAAAAGTCGAAACAATCAAGTGCCTTTCTCAAGTATTGTTCTGATTTAGCTATATTATCATCAGTATTATGACATGCTTGATGTCCTTGGTTCTCTTTGTGTAATAAATAGTATATTCGACCCAGAAGATAACAGGCATCACCTTCAAGTTCTTTATTGCCAACAGTCGAAGCGATGCCAAGGCATTTCTCTAATAAAGGTAATGCAGTTTGAAAATGATTTCTGATTATATTGTTTTCAGCCATAGAACGATAAATAATTGCCTCAAGACCTTTGTCATTTAATTCTTTAGCAATAGCAAGACTAATGTCGTATTGTTTCTTCGCCTCTTCGTATCGATGTAATTCCTCTAAGCATGCGCCAATGTTTACTAAGGTGACCGATTGTGATTGTTTATCATCGATTTCTTTTGAAATGTCTAAGCATTCCTGACAATACACAATGGCTTCTGAATATTTGTTACAATAATTAAACAAAACATTTCCCTGGCTACCATAACATTTTGCTTGAAGACCTTTATTACCGATCTCTATACTGATAGCAAGACTTTTCTGGAACATCT